CCCGAATCCAACGTTCGCAATTGCCCGTTTAGTTATAAATAGCCTACACTTATTTTAAGATTAATCAACCACGAGAACATTTCACTTTTCAAAGGAAACAAGATTCATAAAATCGAAAACCAGAAGATAAATATATTAAAATAATATTTATAAATATTAAACAGTTTGAATTATCGTTTACTTTTCCCGTTCCACATTTATTCGTCTTAATTTATCACTAAACTAGACTCTCCTACGATACAAATATAAATACAATTGCTCACTGTTTATACAGGTATAGTTTTTGCATTGGTTTACTTGTCTGCAGCTAAACCGCCAAATATGCAGACCGTAATGTATCAGCTAAACTGTCAATGTAAGCTAGGATCAACTTGTTGTAGGTCAACGTTATCACTTGAATAGATGAATTATGGAAACCCAGTGTGGTTTGTCTTTACCCAAAGAATAGTCTCCCCTAGGCTCAGTCACAGATAGTTCAACAATATAAATCCTTATTAATTTTCCTTTTGAATGGTAATAGTATATGTCCTCACTAGGGTGGAAGTGAGGAGTTTTCAACCCAAGCTCTAATTTCAAAGTGAAGTAAAACGAACGAGAGTTGAAAAGACATACCATGTGATGAACTAAATTGTTGTCATATTGCACCATTTTTTACAAACTAGGTTAGAACACGAAGATACTTTTTACGTAAAGCTAACCTCTCAAAAAGACGTCCTACTTGTTTTCAATATTGCAAATAATCAGCTGTTTATTTATTTGCCAACGGATATACACCAATTTTATTACAGTTTGAGTTGTAAATTGCTCATTATGACTAGATAACCCATAATAATAGCAATGAAAGGAATGTCAAATATAACAATAATAAGAGTAAAGTATACATGTGAAAACTTGGACAAAGATAATAATAAGTCATTCAACCATTTTGTCTATTACGATAGTGTTGGTGTACATCATCCTATCGATATATCGAACTTTTGACGAGAATGTAACAATCATCAACCAACCTAATCAATTGACACATACTTTTGACACAATCGATGTTTACAACTGTGTTTTAACAGCTGACTTTTACTCCCTAGGTAGTGAAAGAGCTATTTAGACCTGCAACACATGCATAGAAAACGGCTGTTTTTACTGCAGAACCTTTTAACGAAAAGGGTTTTAGTTACTGATCTAACAAGTTCCAAACTGTTTTTATAAGTACACATGGGAAACAAAGCTTAACTTGTCTTTACCAAAACTAATACTTTGATTTTTGAAACGAACAGTGTGTAAAGTTAGTACTAGGTTGCATCTTCATGTGTGGTTGCACAGCGCCTTTATACGTTTCAACAAATACAAGAGATTGCACCATTCATCAGGGAAAGCAATCAATCCGATCATTTCTGGAGAGTTTTCAAAATTCTCTAACTTTCTGGTGAGATATCTTAATCTATAATACGACATTAAGCTTAATTGTCATCATGGAAAGCATTTCGGTCACGAACATCCTATTATAATACAATTAGTACTCTAATTTAAGAATTTAAGACTCAGTTTAATTGTCTCTTCTTTGGCCCTTGAAGCGATGAATTATTTTATATTGGATCAGAAAAGTGCAAACATTATTATTTCACAATTAGTTTAGACGCACATGACGTTTTTTGCAGGCAGTAATAATATTAGTTTAATATCCAAATCAAGATTAGGTTAAAACAAAGTTAAAAGTCGTCTACAGCATGTAATCAATCAAATTGGATTAAACTTTATTGAAATATACTGGTTTGTTAACTACTTATAATGTACGCAGCTTGATGAAAAAGTGTTAACATTATTATATCATCAACCAAACTTCTAATAAGCTAACTTCTTCATTTCCAAATTGTATAAATATGTATAATATACAAGTAAACTATGGCAATAATCTCTTTCTCTATAAAGATAATCTTGGAATAATTAGACAGTCAGTGTTATATGGAGTTGTTTGTCCCTCTAAATAAATCAATTAGTAAACTGAGTTATATAATACGTTTAGTTTTATTATCAACACAATGTTTTAAACTTTTGGATGATTAATTAACATTCTACTTGTACAAATTTAAAGAATGATGAATCTTAACTAAATGAAATAGACATTTCATCACCCAAAGTTACTATATATATTTCTTCAAATAGCACATAGGATATAATTTAAAATAAGATATTAATTTGATAGATAATTCGGTCATTTTATTTGATATAAAAATAGAATTAAAATCTCACTATGTTCCATATTAAGTAATCTTAAAAAATACTTTAATAGCGTTGGATATAAAAACAAATTGAATGGTATGAACAAATACTGAGTTAGGTAATCGGTTTCGTGGTTGGAGAGTGAGAAGTTTGCTTTGATAGTCAAATAGCTCGGGAAAGGGTGGGCTCGTGTCCCAGTGGACTGGACAATGTTACAAGTTCAGTTGCGGATGAATGAATTCACCATCACTCAGATAGTTTCATCTTCTTTATCACATCAACCAGAGCATGTCGTTAAACTTTACTTAAACTGATATAAAAAGGTTTTAAAAATTTGATAAAAACCAATGAATAAAATAATTTGGTTACACTCGTTACTTCAGTTCAGATATATCTATCTAACGGCTTTTCTATTTTTCATTCAAATAGAAGCAGTGGATTAAAGGCATTGTCAGAATGAAATAAATTACGAATTATGTTCACATAAAACCTTCTTTAAGTACATTACGTAATTCGACATGAACTGCGATACTGGTTTAAATAGGTATTCTTTATTGTTTAACATTTCATATGAAGGATGCAAGTTCGTTGTTGATGTGTTGACCACTGATAACAAAATTACTAAATTTTGTCTCTCAACTATAAGTAGTTGTCCTTCTTACAAGTATTACTATTAGTAAAGCCCATTCATTTATGCCATAATTTTAATAAAATAATTCATTGGACCAGTTCAGGAGGGAGAAATGTGGAGATTAAGGAAAAATAAAGAGCTTAAATACACCGACCCAGATATTGTTGCAATGTTTAAACGAAGAAGGTTAAGTTGGATAGGGTATGTGCCACGAAGAGAGAAAGGAACAAGACTGTATGAAGTTTGGAGAGCTACACGAGGTAAACGTCCATTGGGAAGGCCGAAATTGAGATGGACTGACTAAAGCCCCTGTCACACGGAGCTGGTTTTCTAGCCGCTAGTAACTAGCAGCTAGAACCAGCGGAAAACCAGCATCGTGTGACTGACTCTCCAGCCGCTAGTAACACTCGCATGAGCTGGTATCTCCAGCCGCTGGAGGTTTTAAACGGTTTAATATTACAAGCGCTTGAAGAGCCACTTGCAGGTCATGTGACCACCCAGCTGTAGTCTCTAGCATCATTCCAGCTCTGTCTGACAGTATCGTGCTGGTTCTCGCAATAAGAAAAATTAATTTAAATTAATTAAACACATTTAAACTAATCAAGAATAAATTTAAACTTTCATGTTTAGAAATTGTTCATACATAGCCGTAATTTTCTCGTTGTTACGATTGCTACATCTCACATATATTAATTAAATGAATGTGTTCTTGAAAGAAAAAGTCCTTTTGTTATACGCCTACCACAACTTATTCGATTTTAATTAGTTAATTTACATGCCCGTAGTAGATACAAAATAATAGTGTTTAGGCCTATGTATTAAAAGTATATTTTTCCTTGCACTTTTTAATTTTATGATAGGTGATCATAGACAAAACATCAATTCTAATAGCAACAGAAGACATTATTTTTGTTAACTACACAGTCAGTTCCAATTACATCACCAAACTTGTAAGTTGTAGCGCTAGTTCTCCAGCTTCGTCTGACAGGACTTCTAGCGCGCTGGAGAACTAGCAACTAAAGCTGCTGGATCTCGCAGCGAGAACCAGCTGCTGGAACCAGCTCCGTGTGACAGGGGCTTTAGTATTGAACGACATCAGGACAATGGGTGCAAATGTCAACTTGGCAGAAGACAGAGAAGGGTGGAAGAGGCTGGTACACGAGGCGAAGAATCAACTGAGATTTGTGGAGCGACGACAGTAAATAAGTAAGCAGTTCATTAGATTAGATACAATGCAGACAATATGTTGCGTTTTTATTATTTTGGTTTGTGACTCTTTTAAAAATAGATATTTTTCATTATGGTATACAACGCTATATCGTTTGAGTGTCAATACAAACATTTATGACTGAAACTAATTTATGCCTTGCCTCCCAGTTTCTTAATGTGATTATTCATTTTGTGTATCCTAACTATTGTAGTATCAATAGATGAAACAGTACAAAAACTATGATTTACTCGTTCACGTTGTGTTATTGTATTGTTACAAGAAAAGATATACGTGTCTTAAATATTAACGCAATGGAACTTTTGAGACGATGTATGAGAATTAATACTTATTTATAAATATCCAGGTTACAAACTTTGTATTTTTTTATGAAAAAAACATTTACAAATATGTAAATTCAAATATGTATATCAATATGTAAATTAATGATTGTTTCGTCTATTTTGTCAGCATTCATATTTTTATACTTTCAGATTTAGTAGCTTCTAGCTGCTATGACTGTGGCAATCATGGCCTAGATAGTTAAAGATATACTCTCTTGGCTCTACACGTTGACTTTTATGGATGCTGAAGAAGGCATCCAATCTGGATGGAACAACTCTAGCCCATATTAAAAAAAAAAACAACAGACATTTTTATGAGCCACTCACAAATTGAGCTACAAGGTAAAACCTTCCTCTATTTATCCTCTATTTTTTGTTGCTGAGTTGGTTGAAGCCAAAATGAAACCTCGTTCTATAGCTTTCTATAAGTTGTACTGTTACTTTGGCTTTGCTGAAAAGTCACTACATTTCTCATAAATCATTAATCTATGTCAGCGCACTCTGTCGGGGGTAGTCTAGGTCCGTCAAAAGTTTAAGTTTATAACAAAATAAAAGTACAATTCATAGGTTATATTGGTATTTTAGGAGAAGAAACTCAGCTTACCAAATCGCCACGTTTGTCATTCCAAAACAGCGGACTATGGCCAATGTATCTGTAAATAAAGAAGGAGACATTACAAAGGTTACAATTTTCACATTTTATAAACCAAGAGTTTTATACACACATAGAATTCGATGTCTTGATAAAAACGAAGTAATTTAAAACTCGTTTGTGTCGTCTGGTGCAAACCATATGCACACCTGAGGATGATGAGGGTCGATTAAGTTTTAAAACATTTATTCTGGAAAAGACACGAATTTGAGTTAATTTAGCAGTATAAAATCTATTGCTAATGGCGTAATTGCATCTACATGCTCAAACTATGTAAATTAAAAATAGTTTTAATTTTGTGGAATATCTTTCTTCAGCTCTATCATTATGAAGTTTCATAAACGTTCTGGGTTCTCTAAATCCGATTGTTAAATTAGTTGAGAACAACTCAGATGTTAATTTAGACAAAAGAATGTATCATACTAGTTTTTTATTATTTCCACCAATATGAGCTCCTAAATTAATAAAATGATTAGGCTACAATAAAAAGTGAGGTAGGCAAAGTTTACCATTAATATTAATCGCTTAAGGTATAAAATTAATTCATAAGTTAATTGATCGTGGTTATAATTCCGTCTATCTTAGGTACCTATATCACTAAATGTATTCTAATTTACAATACAACCCCGATTATTACCATACCTGATGGTAAGTATCGTATTGGCATATAGACATACACATCTTAAACAGGTTCACACTATACACACGGGTTAAACTTTATTGCATTATAGAAGGTTTAACTAACAGTCGCACAGGTCTATAAAACATCATGCATACACTAGAGCCACGTTATAAAATCTTAACATTTTCTGAAGTAACATGGACGATTTTGGTTTACTTTTAAGAAAGAAACACTCGTTAAAGAGGTCGTTAAATCAAAAGTACCAAAGATCAGAAGATACACTGACATTCAGCTCACTACAATCTTAAAAGTTTAAATGAATTTGAAATACCGAATAACACAGAATAGAGCTGCGCGAATGAATGGAAAACCGAATAGTACAATCGCATTGGAGGCGATTCCATTCAATCTACCGCGCCAAGGTAACGTTTCCGCAGCGCAAGGGTTCAATTAATTAAGGTTTCAATAACAGACGGAAACAATGAGTTGGGAAACAATTGGGGTTGGAATAAATCACTACTACACCATTTCAGATGCTTCAACATAATATTAGTAATTTTGTATTTAAAAAATTTACATTTTACAAACGGACTTTATATTTTAGGACAGTTATTTTACCCATTTTACAGCTGGAAATAATGATCCCTCAATATAAAAACTAAGTAATGTAGGCCAAAAATTATGTCAATGCAATATATGAATCAATACGAAATTGGATTATTATCTTAAACAATAATGAATCACATTTTCATACACTACCATATATTTACAACTATATCCAAACGATATTATTTATGCTATCATATCAATACTGTATAATCATTTATTTAAAAATACTGTTTCAATCTTAAGTTTTGTAGGCCTATTTAAAAACATTTTGGAAAAATATATATCTCGTTAATTAAGGCTGCAAGTAAGATTCATTAACGGAATGCCTTTACGAAATCCGCCTTGATCACAGACTTCTTTAATCAGGACGAAATTACCCATCATTTCACTTAATGATTTAGTAACTGATTAACGTAAGCCATTAACTAAATAGAATAGTCTACCTCTATCGCTCTGAAAACTAATCTATTTATGGTTATATCTTCATACACTACTGTAACTTGGTATAGGCGTGTTTCCCCTTATATTTGTAATAATAGGCTAACTCGTTCTTATTTTTCACACTTATAGACCTCTGTGATGTATAATTTTCTTATCCCAGTTATTTTTAGTGTCTCATCTCCTGGTTCTACGGAACTGTTTAACATATTACTTCAGGCTAATCCTAGTCGTTTCTGCATTATCACATGGATAATATCCATTGCTGATTGGCGGGATTTGAACCCTGGAACGGGGGCACCGACACCCTGCGCTCTACCACTAGACCAACTCGCCCCCTTCTTAACCTAGTACAGTATCATGAAAAAGTGTCAGAGACCTTCGCAAGTTTTGCAGCACAAAGTGTTAGGTAGGTGTTCGGTCAATGTATTAAGATCCCTTGTTAGTTTGGTGCAAATTAGTATCCTTACACATTCTGTTTATCTAGGGTTTGATGTGTATTCGATCACGGAATCTGGATAGTTGTTTACCAATATATTTCTTATTGGTGAATAAATCCACAATGTTGTAATCAAAGATCTGAACCAATAACATATGTTCATAGTCATTCACGATGATACAATTGCTTTTTTTACCTTACGTCAATACGTTTCATCAATCAATACTTATAGAAACTAGTTGTTACCCACGGGCTTCACCCAAGGCCCCACTAGAAAAAGGCCATGCTGCAGGATCCATGACGTCACACTAGTGGATAGATTTCATTGATAAATTCATTGCCATCACAATTCCCATATTTTTTAGGCAAATAAACAAGCTGGTTGATTGTAAAATGTTAATGGTAAGAGTTTAGTACAACTATCCACCACTGTGACGTAGTGTTGCGCTGCCCGTGCTGCAGCATGGCCTGTTTCTTCACCCCGTTTGACTTCATAAGCATTAATAAAACTATTGATTGGTTACGTTAAGCTGAAATAAACCAAACAGAATACAGTAATACATACAAATAATCACACCTGATTTTAATAAGGTAATAAATGGAAAGAATAACAAACAAATAAGTACAGTTGAGGTATTTTTAACATTAGGTATATGGAAAGTCCTCTTTAGAACGGAATTACGACCTTAAAGGGCAATTTATGATATAATAGATAGTTTTGCGCAAAGTTTCTCGTCATGACAAACATTTTAAGTATATGGTTTATAGGGGTGTGACTCCTCTACCACCACACCCCAATTTGTTTTTGAGTATTGGGTTGTTTACTCAAAAGTTCAAGGGCACTTTGGGATTTATATATGGATTAACAGCCGATCAATTTGCATTCTACAAAATCAATAACACATAATAAATTTTCATGAAAGAAGATATTAGTAATGAATGAATTGAAAATTTCCATTTCATTAGTAAAACCAGAATCAATTAAATACAAACTAGTGGAACCCCGTCGAAATCGACAGTTAATCTTGAGGTTTAATGTAAATTCAGCTAACTGCGATAGATAGAGTGAAGTCATTAAAATCTTAGTTAAATGAAGGGAGGATAAGCATAATAATAAGTATGACGATTGTATTCCCTAAAAAAAGTGATTGATGAATTCGTTTAACACAATATTACCTACCTTTTTATCGGCTTTAGGTTGCCCAAAAGGTTTTTTAAGAGTCTTATAATTGTTTGTTTCATGTCAAGGCCACTTTCACTATATGGGAGAATGAGTTCATATAATTAGTCTATCATGTTATGGAAAGAGTGAATATGCATTACTAACAACTAATTCCATCTGCTTTAGGAAAAACATTCAGATTGTATCCTGATTTATAAGTAAATCTTCATCTATGGTCATAAAAATACAGAATTTTATCAGCATATTAAATCAGTTTTTTTTTTGTATTTGATAAAAATATCTGATTCTCCAGAAAGCAGTAACATTCTTACTTCGATCTAAGCAATTTTAATTCCTTCTCTTGCAACATCGACCCATGTATTTAATCATCCTGTTCTTACTTGATAATTCATTATCTTATGGGGTAGTTTTGCCTTGGCTATATCGATCACATAAAGCTGTGCATGTATTTCGTTGATGGAATGAACCATAATGTAGGAAATTTGATCACACATCTTGAACATTTGCGGAACCAAATCCATAACCTAGTCCAGCCTTGGTAACAAATTATGCAAATGCGATGAGATGTGATGACACTGTTGTGTTTTTGAATGTTCTGTGTACATCATGTGTACAAATTCCTGAACACATTCCTTTTAATACCTGAATTGACATTTCCGATAAGGAATAATTATACGTTCCTTTGAAATTGATATGTCATACTTATTTTATAATTTAAAATTTTATAAGAACAATAAATCATAGATTTTTGAACAAAACATTTAAAACACGTCATAAATTTATCATTTTGTTGAAACTATAAAAAACTTGCCATGCAGTGGAGAATCTAATAATGTAAACATTTAGTTTTGACAGTTTCAGTAGACCTTGAATATTTTAATAGTAACAGCTGGTTCATTAAAAATAGAGTAAAATTATCCATATGGTCGTAAAGTAAACAAAATTGCTGAGTGAACTTTAAAGACCTCTGGGGCAGAGCCCCAAGGAAATTACCTCGTTTCTTATTTGAGGGCTCACCTACAGACCAATACCTTTCTTTAGACACCCCTACCAAGTTTCTACACAAAGCCGTTCTCTCAAATTAGCTGTGACAAAATACCCGTATTCCTCCATAAGAATAACATGGGATGGGAATTTAAAGGCCACTGGGGCAGAGCCCCGAGGGAATTTACCACGTTTCTCTTTTGATGGCTCATCTACAGACCGGGACCTTTCTTTAGACACCTCTACCGAGTTTCTACGCCCAGCCGTTCTCTCAAAATAGCTGTCACAAAGAAAAACAGTTTCAAATTAATATATAGATTTAGATAATACTTGGATTACCAGGAAACAATGTTATTTTCAACACAAAGCTCCCTTTTCTCAGGCCAGACGAGGCTGCTCTAAGCTGGATCTTAGCTAGGTAATCTCTCTCCTACCACTGATTCACGAATTTTCGATAACACAAGTTGCTTCACTAAGTCTTGAAAACATTTTTTTTTTAAGAATTAAATATTTTTAAATTTTTTGAAATGCAAATTATCATATTGTGGGTGAGCTTAGCATTGACAAGAAAGTTATTTAGTTGCTTTACAAATTAATTAACCGTAGACTGTTTCCAAAATTGATTATCAATTTATTATGTCTATAAAGATGGCTATTTTTTAACCGACTTCCCCACTACCAACAAAAGGAGGAGGTTCTCAATTTGTTTGTGGCGATGTTTTTTTT